TGCACTGCACACGGCAAGGACTTGTGCACTGCACAGCCTGGGCACTGCACAGCCTCTGCACTGCACTGCGCACGGCAAGGACTTGGGCACTGCACAGCCCCTGCACTGCACAGGGCACTGCACAGCCTCTGCACTGCACAGGGCACTGCACTGCACAGCCTCTGCACTGCACTGCGCACGGCAAGGCCCTGGCACTGCACAGCCCTTGCACTGCACTGCACACTGCAAGGACTTGTGCACTGCACAGCCCTTGCACTGCACTGCACTGTGCACGGTGAGGCCCGGGCACTGCACAGCCCTTGCACTGCACACAGCGAGGCCCTGGCACTGAGCAGCCTCTGCATTGCACAGCGCACTGCACAGCCCCATGTGCTGCACAGCCCCTACGCTGCAATGTGCACTGCACACAGCAAGGCCTGCACACTGCATAGCCCCCATGCTGCACTGCACAGCCCCTGCATTGGGGCACTGCACAGCCCCTGCATTGGGCAGCGGGTGATGGAGACAGCTCAGGGACCCCCTCACCGGGCCCACCCAGCCCTGCTCCTGTCCTGGGGCTGGAGGAGGGGCTGAGGTTTCCAAGCCCCCCTCACCGTCCTACCCACTGCGACGGGTGAGGGCCCCGTGCTCGGTCCCGCAGGGCCTCTCCCCGTTCCCCGTGTCCCCTTGGAGGTCCTAGGGCTGCATCTCCTCCCCATGTGCCCCCCACCACTCTGTCCCCTCCATCTATCCCTGACCCAGTTGCTCTCCATTCCCTTGCCCGTCCTGCCGTCCCTCTGTCCGTCCCTCCGGCCGTTCCCCGGTGCCGCCGCCGCCCCTCGCCTCCGCTCCCGGCCCAGCCCCGCTCCGCCGCTCCCGGGGCCGCCCCGGGCCGCCCCTTCTCCGCCTGCTCCGTACGGAGCCGTCCCGGCCCCGGGCCGCCCCCACCTCTCCGCCCTGGGCAGGTAAGGCCGGGAGCACCGGGAGCACCGGACACCCCGACGGCTGCGAGAACCGCCGTGCGCTGCTGCCGGCCGGTGCCCGCCGGTGCCGCCGCTGTCCGGGGCGGGGGTGCGAGGAGCAGAGAGGGGGGGTCCGGGGAGGGGTGCGGCGACCAGCAGGGCCAGCGCAGGACCCCGGACAGGGCTGCGAGAGGCGACCCGAGGGAGCAGACAGGGCTGCAGCGGGAGCCGGGGACACCGGCGACAGTGCGGGGGAAAACGAGCAGGGCTGCGGGAGGCGACCGGGGACAGCGCGGAGGGTGCGGGGGGAGCGGGCAGGGGGTAGGACAGCCCCGGGGACGGAGGGGCAGGGGGTGCCGGGCCGGGGCAGGGAGGCGGGTGGGCCCGGGGGCAGCGGCGGCGGGCGGGGCCGGGCCGGGGGCGGCGGGGCCGCCCGGTGTGTCATGTTCTTGGCACGGCCCGGGAGCAGCTGCGCGGGGCGCCCGGGAGCCCCCTCCGCCCGGAGCAGCGGGGCCGGCGCCCGAAGGGGACCCCTCTCCCCCCAGAGAAAAGGGGGGGATATGACAGGGAAGGGGATATAGCCCGGGGTGGGGGGGGGGCGGGTCGCGTTCCGACCCCGCCGGGGGTGGCCCGGCCCAAGCCAAGACCCTCCCGGCCGCGCCCCGGGGCCTCCCGGCGGCCGCTGACCTCAGCCCGGGAGCCGCTCCGGGGCGGCGGCGGGAGGGCGCGGACAGCGCCTGGCCCGGCCGCCGCCCCCGGGCGCCCCCCGGCTCCCCCTCGCCCCGGGGCACCGTGGCCGGGAGGTGGCGACGGGGGGCGGCCCGGGAGGGGGTGGCGGCGGGGGCGTGTCTCTGTTGTCACCTACACCTGCAATGAGCTGCCAGGTCTCAGCGTCACTCGCTGCAGGCAGGTGGGAAACAGGCACGGCAGGGAACGAGCTCCCACGGGCCCCTGTCGCAGTTCCTGCCGCCGTCCCCGTTGCGGTGACCCTGCCCAAGCCCGACACCCCCCCAACCCAGAGTGTCTTTCCATGCCTCCTGCATCCCTGTGCACGCGGGACCCCTCCACCTGGCACGCTGGGGCCGTGCGTGACATTAACTGCCCTGGGCCATAGGGGTGCAAACCCCGCGATGAGGACACTTCTCTCCCCAAGCCCATCTGGGCTGTGTCCCCCAGCCCCAGGCTGCATCTGGGGAGGAGAAGGGGTCTGCACTCCCCTCGGGGGTGGGGGGTGGCAGAGGGGTCCCCCCACCTCACAGACCTGTGCTGGGCCCGGCTTTGTCCAGTATTTAATTGAAAGTGGCTCTGGGGGCTCCCGAGAAGAAAGGGCGGTTTGGGGCCGTGACGGGATGAGCGGGGCTAATCCATCCCGCGCGCATGACTGGTCCGGGGAAACCGCGGCCGTGGGGATTAGGCCCCGGGCCGGACCCCACCACAAAGGGGTTTCCAGGAAGGGCTCGTCTCACGGCCGTGCAGCCCCCTCTTGTCACCCCGGGGCTGGGCACAGTGAGGACAAAGCCTGTGTAAGGTGCCAGTGCATCCATAGTGCCCTACGCACCTGTGGCAAATCCAGTCCATCCCTCCGTGCTGTTCTTGGATCCCTCCCTTCACCGACCGTATCTCCCCTTGCTTCCTTCCAAGCACCCCTTCATCTACCCCTTCATCCCACCTTCACACCTCCTTCCCCACCTCTACCTCCCTTCATCCCTCCTGCTCTTCCTCCATCCTCTGATCCCTGCATCCTTCTCAGCCTCCAGCCCTCTGTCCAAACGCTGCTCCAGCCTCCATCTGTCCCCGGTTCCTCCCGTGTCTGTCCCTCCATCCCGTGTCTGTCCCTCCATTTCTCCAATGGGCAGGGCTGGAACCCCAAGACCGAGGGGAGACCGATGGTCCCACAGCAGGGCTGCACACCCATGTATTGGGTAGGGGGTCCCCAGGGAGACCCCAGGCCAGTGCCAGCCCCATGCCATCCCTCTCTGCAGAACATGGACCAGGGCAGTGGGGAGAAGAGGGATTTGGGGAGGGAAGGGGCTGGCCCCAGTGTCCCTGGTGCAGCCGCGGGGGTCCTGCACCGCCCCCCCCACCTCCCCTCCCCAGGCTGTCCCGGGGACTGCGCTGTCCGGACTGCCCCAGTTCCTGCACCCCCGGGCTATTCCGAGCTGTCCTACATCCCGCTTCCCGGGATATCCCTGCCTGTCCTGACCCAGGCTGTCCCTGCGCCCGGGGAGCAGTCTGGAGCAGCCTGGAGCGGGGCTGGACGGCGGGGCCGGTACCGGTACCGGTGGCGGGGCCGGCGGGCAGCCTCAGCAGAGCCCCCGCCGGCGGGGCCGGGGCGCAGCCACCTGCCAGGCTAATCCGGGCCGTGACGGACAGGCCCGGCGCCGCCGCTCCCGCCGCCCCGTTAAGAGGTGCCGCGGCCCCGCCGCTCCCCATTGTTAAGGCGAGGACGCGGGCTGGCCCCGCACGGCGGGACCGGCCCATGGGGACCCTCCGCGCCGCCCCTATAAGAGGGAAGGGGCTGGAAGATGCTCCCGGGTGCTGAGCGCTGCGCACCCACCTCGCCTCGCCTCGCCGCCTCCCCGGGGAGCGGCCGCGCCCCGGGCACCGGCACCGAGCACCGGCAGCCTGCACCAGCGTCCCGGGCATCAGCACCAGGCTGCGGGCAGCGCGCACCGGCAGCCTGCACCGGGCACCAGCACCGAGCACCGGGCTCCGGACAGCGCGCACTGAGCGTCCCTACCAGAGCACCGGGCACCGGCAGCGCTCACCGGCACCGTGCACCGGGCTCCGTGCACCGCACCGCGCGCGGAGCGTCCGCAGCAACAGCTCTCCGGGCACCGCGCGCGGAGCTCCCGCCTCCGCGCCCCGGGGGCCGGTCCCGCGCCCCCGCCCGCCGCTGTCCCGTGCCCGCGGCCCCCCGCGGCCGCCCGCGCCCCGCGCGCCCGGAAACACGCGTGGATGTAGCGGCCGGGCCGGGGGCTCCGCGGCACCATAAATACCCCGGCGGGCGCTCGAACTCGCACTCGCCGCCATGCGCCCCGCCGCGCTGGCCCTGGGCTGGAGGACGCTCTGGGCGCTCGCGCTCTCCTCCCTCTCCAACACGTTGGCGGTGAATAACAGCGGCCGGTGGTGGTGAGTCCGGCTCGGAGCCACCGGGCGGCACCGGCCCTGGCCCCGCGGCGGCCTCGGAGCCGCCGGGGCTGCCGCGGCGCCGTGCGCCCCGTCGCGGGGGCCGCAGCCGAGCGCCGGGGGGCGGGAGGAGGGACGGGGCGTCCCTCTGCGGACGCGGACGGGCTCCCGGGCTGGGGCTTTGCGACGGGTCGGGCTGGGACGGTGGCAGGGAAGGGACTCGGGGACCGGGGGACAGCGGGACCGGGTTCTGTCCCCCGAGGGAGCTGGCACTGAGTATGGCACGAGGGGAGAGGTGACACCTGGGAGTTAGACGCCTGGGTCCCACCGGGGGAGTGGGGAAGACAGTGGGACAGCGGGCACCTCTGCAGAGCCCTCCCTGTCCCGGTGACCACCACATGTGGCCCGCAGGGGGATCATCAACGTGGCCTCCTCCACCAACCTGCTGACGGACTCCAAGAACGTGCAGCTGGTGCTGGACCCCAGCCTGCAGCTGCTGAGCCGCAAGCAGCGCAAGCTGATCCGCCAGAACCCCGGCGTGCTGCACAGCGTCAGCAGCGGCCTCCAGAGTGCCATCAAGGAGTGCAAGTGGCAGTTCCGCAACCGCCGCTGGAACTGCCCCACCTCGCAGGGACCCAACATCTTCGGCAAGATCGTCAACCGTGGTGAGGCCACAGGCAGGGTGGGTCGGGGAGTGGAGGCACTGGGAGGGCTCGTGGCAGGGCTCCCACATGGGATGCTCCGGGACACCATAGAGACTCTTAGGATTCTTGCTTATTCTTGCTGAGGATCCTTGCTCATCCTTGCTTAGGATGAGCTCAGCACAGAGCCCCTTGCACTGGGGCTGGTGGGTGCCCCCCAGCGCGTTCCTGAGCCCCTGTTCCCCCCGCACACAGGGTGCCGGGAGACAGCCTTCATCTTCGCCATCACCAGCGCGGGTGTGACACACTCGGTGGCGCGGTCCTGCTCCGAGGGCTCCATCGAGTCGTGCACCTGCGACTACCGGCGCCGCGGCCCCGGCGGCCCTGACTGGCACTGGGGCGGCTGCAGCGACAACATCGACTTCGGGCGCCTCTTCGGCCGGGAGTTCGTGGACTCCAGCGAGAAGGGCCGGGACCTCCGTTTCCTCATGAACCTGCACAACAACGAGGCCGGACGCATGGTGAGGGCCGCGAGGGCCACACGGGGAGCCTGGGGGGAGACGCGGGACCGACTGCAAGCTCCCCCTTTGCAACCCTCCCCTTGCCTGTGCAGACCGTCTTCTCGGAGATGCGGCAGGAATGCAAGTGCCACGGCATGTCGGGCTCGTGCACGGTGCGCACGTGCTGGATGCGGCTGCCCACCTTCCGCGCCGTGGGCGACTTCCTCAAGGACCGCTTCGACGGCGCCTCGCGCGTCATCTACGGCAACAAGGGCAGCAACCGGGCGTCGCGCGTGGAGCTGCACCACCTGGAGCCCGAGAACCCGGCGCACAAGCCGCCCTCGCCCCACGACCTCGTCTACTTCGAGAAGTCGCCCAACTTCTGCACCTACAGCGGCAAGATGGGCACAGCGGGCACGGCCGGGCGCTTCTGCAACAGCTCCTCGCCGGGGCTGGACGGCTGCGAGCTGCTGTGCTGTGGGCGCGGGTACCGCACGCGCACCCAGCGCGTCACCGAGCGCTGCAACTGCACCTTCCACTGGTGCTGCCATGTCAGCTGCCTGAACTGCACCAACACCCAGGTGCTGCACGAGTGCTTGTGAGGCGCGGGACCCCCCGAGGGGGGCGCGACCCCCCCCCCGATGACGGGGGCCCGGCGCCGGGGACGCAGCGCTGGCGGCTGCCCCGCCGCACGGTTGGCTTCTCGCTGTAAATAAAATATTTATTGTGGGTGGTGGGATGCCGGGCCCCCCCCACCGTCGCCAGGCCCTGCCGCCTCTGCCTTTCGCTGGCCCCAGGCCCTGTTTTTTTATAATTAAAGAAGATAATAATAATAATTAATAATTAATAATTAATAATAATGATGCTTTGCTACAGGTTTCACTGATAGCCTTTAGGGGAGAATAAAGGATATATTTTTATCAGTCCTGCCCTCTTTGCGTCCTGGGGTGCAGGGGGGTGGGAGGCTGTAGGGAGCAGTGCAGGGGGGTGTGACGTGTCACCCCTCCAGCCAGGCAGCTGTCCGAGTGTCTGTCCATTCCTCTGTCCACCTGCCTCCCCATCCTCTCCACATCCATCCATCCATCCATCCATCCATCCATCCATCCATCCATCCACCCACTTATCTCCCGCATCCCTCTGTCCATCCCCCGGCGCATCCGTGCGCCCCCCCTGCCCTGCAGCCCCCCCATGTCTCGGCCGGCCTCGGCGCCGCCGCCGGGCCCGGGGTGGCCATCACCATGGCGCCTGGGCTGCGGGGCTGCGGCCCTGGAATTTGCCGGGGGTGGCGGGGCTGGTGCCGCGGGGGCCGGGGGCCGATCGCGCCCGCGGGAGGTACAAGACGGCAGACAAGGAATGAGCGTCGTCCATCACGGCTGCCGGCCGGGGCTGACGGCTCCCCTCGGCTCTGGGGAAGGAGGGGGGCTGGGGGGGGCACTGACATTCCCGCCGCTCTCGTCCGCCAGGAAGCGCCGCGGCTCCGCGGCCGGTGGGTTTCCCCTGGTGGGCATTCCCTGGACGGGAGTCTCGGTGTCCTGTTAGGAAGGGGATCCCAGTGGCATGAGCATCTGGTTGGGGCAGGTGTCCCATTGGAGGTGGCAGCTGTTGGGAATGGGTCTCCCACCTGTCTGGGTTTCCCTTGGGACGGGAATCCTCCTGCAATGGGTATCCCACTAGTGCAGGGCTGCTATGGGTATTCCAGTGGGCAGAATATCCCACGGGAACAGGTATCCCACCAAGGAGGGAATCCCGTGTGAATGCATATCCCACTGGAGAGGGAATCCCAGCAGGACAGGCATCCCTTCAGAACGGATATCCCGTGGGAGAAGGGATCCCATGGGGATGAGCATCCCATCGGGAGGGCCGTGGCGTCTGCTGGCAGTCCAGCTAAACCCCGGGGCTTTTCCGCCATGGCAAAACCCCCCATCCAAGGAGGGTCTGGCCTGGCCACGGGGGCCCGGGAACCTCTCATGGGGCCTCTCTGGGCCACTTGCATCAAAGGCTGCGGATGACTCCACGGCCAGAAATATCCCCGGAGCCGATAGTGGAAAAGTTGATGTTCCGAGTGCGAGGAGGCGGGGTGGGGGGGAAAAACCCCAGGGGCCCCTGTCCGTGCCAGGGCCAAAACACTCCCTGGTGCGGTAAAATAAAATAAAGCAATGCGAGAAAAAACGACTGGAAAGGAACAGCCCGAAATAACCCGCCGAGCATCTCCTGTCTGCCGGGAGTTATCTGCCTGCTAAATTCTGCACACACGGAGGGCATGAAAATAGCCTGTTTTCCTGTGGTAGCGAGTCAGGAATATAGATAATGACATTCGCATAAGTCACCTCTGTTACTCAGCTTTTCCTGCGCGCCGGTGACCGCTCAGCACCTCGGGCAGCCGCGACCCCCGGGCGGGCAGGGGCACCCCAGGCGCTGCGCCCGGCTGCAGGGTGCAAAACCTCCCTGCCTTTTATAAATACACCCGGGAGCTGGAAATAGCCCTTCTGGCAGCGGCGGCGCTGGAAAACGCCGGCCCCGCCTCCGGGGAGCCAGCCCGTCACATCTGGGAAGCTGGGCAACATCTGGATGCCGGCCACGAGCCCTGCTGGGGCCGCCGGGCTGGGCAGTGCCAGGACACCGGGATTCTCCTGACGTGGGGCTGCATGGGATGGCAGCTGCGCTGCTGCAGGGAAGGGCCCAGATGTGCAGGAGGGGGGATGGAGCCGTGCCCAGATGTGCAGGGGTTGTAAGGAGCAGTGTTGGGCTGGGTGGCAGGACAAGGCAGCGTCACAGGTGCAGGATGGGGAGAAGCAGCAGTGCCCAGATGTGTCGGACAGGGAAAGTGACCATGCCCAGATGTGCGGGATGGGTTAGGATGGTGCAGAGATGTGCAGGACAGGGCCATGCCCAGATGTGCAGGGCAAGGAAAGAAATGATTCCCAGACGTGCGGGAGCGGGCAGGGCCATTCCCAGCTTTGCAGAACAGGGATCAGACAATGCCTGGATATTCCAGGCATGGATAGCACCGTTCCCGGATGCGCAGGATGGGAAAGGTCCGTGCCCAAATACGCAGAGCAGGGCTGAGATCAAACCCAGATGTGCAGGACGGGCCAGCGGTGGGAACCCCCCGTCCTTGCCCCGTTCCCCGTGGCAGCCCCCTCCCCAGTGCCGGGAGCCGCGGGCTCGCGCCCCCGCCAGCCGCCCGCCCCGTCCGGCCGCCCCCTGCCCCACAATCCACCACATTCCTCCGGCGCGGGGCCAACGCGCCCAGCAACCGTGGCAGGCCTGGCCTCTAATCCCCGGGCATGCCAGGCCCGGGGGGACCGTCGCCGTCACCCACTCCCCGATAGGTGACCAATGCCCGAGACGAACAATTAGGGACAAAGCCGGAGCCGCCGGGGGGCTAACGCCAGCCTTCACGGGTGCCTTGTGCGGCATTCGGCGAGTTTAATGAATTGTCCATCACTCCTTTCAGCTCCGCTCGCCCGGGCTGGATTAATCTGAGAAGCCGCAGTGGGGTAGGAGCCGCTAAGCCTGTATTTATTACTCTGCCATTGTAACTAATTGAGGTAATTATCTGTGACTCCAGCCCCGCGCAACAATGCGCCATTCACCGCCCCCCCCTCCCGCCGCCCGCCGCCGCGGGGTCTGGGAGAGCCCGGCCCCGGGCACGCGTGGGACCCGCTCCGCCGAGCCGCCGGTACCGGAGCTTCCGTGGGCCGTGGCCAGTACCGGGCCGTTGATTGGTCCCAGCCGGCCGGCAGGTGCTGGATTGGTACCGGTGCCCGGACAGCGGGCTGCACCCCGGCCCCTTTGCACCCCCGTGCACCCGCGATCCGAGCCCGCTGTTCGCCCGCCCCGGTGCCCCCCGGTGTCCTCGGTGTCCCCTGGGGCTGACCGGCTGCGACACCTGGCGGCCGCGGGGGATGCCGCTCCCCAGGGCGGGGGGCACCGGCGGCCGGTACCGGGCTAGAGCCCCCAGGTGCCCCCGAGCCGCTCCTACTCGCGCCCCGGGCACTGCTGGATCCTACACAAGCGCCTCTCCCCTTGCACAAGCGCCTCTCTCCTTGCACAAGCGCCTCTCCCCTTGCACAAGCGCCTCTCTCCTTGCACAAGCGCCTCTCCCCTTGCACAAGCGCCTCTCTCCTTGCACAAGCGCCTCGCCCGGTGCCAGGCTGCCTGTCAACCGGGGTGTCCCCGGGCCACGCTGCCACCTGCCCTGGCAGGGACGTGGCGTAGCAGGGCCTTCCCCGGGGCCGCGCATCGCCCCCGCGCAGCCTGCACGCGCACTTTGCACGCGGGCACGCAGCCCGTGGGCTTGCACGTGCCCGCACCCCGCCGGGCACCCCCGCACACTCACATTTCCACTAACCCGATGCCCGTGCGCATGCCACCCACCTACACACACGTGTCCTCGCGTGTCCCCGCACACGCGTGCCTGCCACGCCAGGGGTCCCCGCGCCCCCCTCCCGACTTTTGGGGGCAGCGGGGCCGGGGGCGGCCCTGGCGCCAGCCCGAACCCAAATTAGCAGCTCATTTTCTCGGCAGGGAGCGGGGAGGGGTTGGGGCTGGAGCAGCTCACGGGAAGGGCCGCAGCTCCGTCCCCCGCGGCCCGGCACCCTGGGGACACCCCGCCGCCTCCGGCTCGGAGTGATGTGGGTGCCTCACAGCTGGAACCCGGAGCCCACCGTACCGAGCAATGCGAGTGCCCCACAGCTGGCACCCAGCTCCTGCAGCCCGGAGCAGCGTGGGTGCCCTGCTGTTGGCGCACGTGGGGTGCCGTCTTGTGCCCCAGGCTAAATTTACCAGTGTGACTCAGAGCTGTCCGGACACTGGGCCCCGCGAGTGCCAGGAGTGGCACCGAGACACGCGTGGGGACAGCGGGACAGACCGGGGGGGACACGCGGGGGAGCGGCGGGACAGACGGGGGGGACACGCGTGGGAGCAGCGGCTCCCCCTGGGACGCGGAGGCCCCGGCCACCTGGGTCCCCCGCGCCGTGACCCGGCGGCCGCCGACAGCGGGATAATGACAGGGCTGGGGCCGGGGGGGGCGCGGGGGAGGCGCTGGTTTTAAATAACGTGCAAATTGGCCGCGGGGTTTGTGCGGTTTCCTCTGGGCGCGGGGATCCTCCCCCCCCAGGCCGTGACTCAGAGCAGGCGGCGGGGAGGCCGCCGCGCCCCCCGCCGTGACTCACCCCCCGGGGAGCCCGGGGCCGCCCCGGCGCGTCCCCACCGTGTCATTACCGGGGACGCGGCGGGACCAGCGCCCTCCCCCGCCGGACGCCTGGGCCCGCTCTCGAACGAGGCACTGGGGATGCCTGGGCACCGCATGCAGCTCCTTACCCGCCCCGAGCACAAGTACGGGGGTCGTGCGTGTCCCCCTCTCCCGAGGACATGTTCCCCTTGTCACGGTCACACGCATCCCTGCACGTTCCCTTCCACGTCCCCATCCTATGACGCCTTTGTGTGTGTCCCCGGTGTGGTCGTCGTCGCCGTCACACACGTCCCTATGCCCCTCTACGTGTCCCCGTGTGACCCCCCCGCCTTGCCCCCCACTTTGCTCTATTACAGGGCTGCCCGTGTATCACCTCGTGTCACCATCAGTGTCCCCACGGCACTG